GAGAGAGAGAGAGAGAGAGAGAGAGAGAGAGAGAGAGAGTCCTACCCATCCATCACATATTTTAGGCTTGGAATTGAGAGACAAGTAACATTTATGTGACTACTCAGAGAGACATCGCACCTTTTGCAGACGGACCACCTAAAATGCCTACAATGGATTTACCATGCTCTTAGCCCAGCTGATGCAGGGGCTGGCAGCAGCCCTCACTGAGCTTCATGAGGAGGTAGGTAATGGCATCCAAAGATATGTAGTTACACTGTCTTTCTTCAAACATTGAAGAAAGTGTCCGTGGAGGTGTATTGGGCCTACAGAAACCTGGCTGAGCAACATCTGGCTTTCCCCCAGCACCTGGGGAAAAATAAAAAGAGGTTCATCTGATTCAGAATAGTCTAGGCGCGTACCACACATTAGCCCTCTAGTGTAGGAGCCATGTCAAACCTTTGAAGAAGTTTGAAATGTTTCCTAAGGACAATGGGATCCTGACTGGGGATCTGAGAAGGATATGACCCAACGTTTTGCTTTAACAAATGTGCAGGAAGTGGTTTAGGGAAGGGATAGGAAAGATAAGGGGCACATTGCACAGCTGCTGGGTGTGTTTACAGAGTTTCTTTGGCCACTGTTTTGTTCTCACAGAGGGTTGAGAGCTTACTATTTCAGTTTTTGACTTTATTAAAAAATGAGATGCAGGCCCATGCTAGTGTGGTATCAAATAGCTGGGCAAATGCCCCCCCCTCCCCTTGGAGCTCACTTTCCAGCGGCTAGAGATGCAGAGTCTTGTGCTGTACCTGACACAGACTGGAGAGAGAGGCATGGCAGGGCTCAGGAGTGAAGAGAGTCAGTTCAGCACACTCCCTAACCAGCTTGTCAAGACCTGCTGGCTGCTATTAAAATATGACCCGGAAAGGTGACTTCATGCATGTGTTTTCTGTTTGTGGGGGAGGGACGTGTGTCTGAGAAACATACTTCATCCTTCATTCAGTTCTGGGGGTCCTTAAAATCCAGAGCAGATTATCCCTAACAAGGCTGCATTTCATGGCAAACTGGCCTTGGAAGCATATGGGGTGAATTCCAAGCCCCAGTCCTACTTTCAAGAGGAAAGCACAGACAATTTACCCACTGATTGTATGGGTCTGGCTCTTTTTTTTTTTTAATCTATAAGACGAAATACTCCCAGAGCCTGCATTGTACCTGGAGAATAGATCAATAATGTGCCAACTGAAACCTGGCACACCCAAGCGTGACCTAAGTGTTAGTGATTATTGCATCCCTCATTATTAAGTTAGAGGATGGAATGGCAGTCAGACCTATCAGAGTAAGGACATCCCATCAGAAGCTGTGCTTGCAGGACAATCTATAAATCCAGCTAGTCCATTCTCCTGCATCTATTGTCTTTCAGTTCTACATCCTGGGACCACAATCAGATGCCTGCAGATGTAATGAAGGTAAGTGGGCATCCCCAAGACACAGAGGTAGATGAGACTTAGATTTTCTCCCTAGGAAAAGGGGCGAGCATAACCTTTGTCAAAAGAAAGATAATTGGTGATCAAAAAGTTAGAGGAAACTGGTTGCTCAGTAACCTACTTCCTTTTTTAATTTTAATTTTTAAGTTTCATTTTGCATTCCTTCCACAGTTTTGCCCCCTAGCCCTTCCTCCCAACCCCTTCCCCCATCTACTCCACCATCCACTTCTCCCAACAGGTAAGGGTTCCCATAAAGTCTGGCACATGATGTTGGGGCAGGAGCAAGCCTCTCCCCCTGCATTGAGGCTGAGCATGGCATCCCACCATAGGGAAAGGGCTCAAGCACCAGGGATAGATCCTGGTCCTACAGTCAGGCTTCCTCTTCTTTAGCACCAAGCATGTTTTCTTTGCCACACAGTTTCCACATTGTCTGTGCAGTTAGTTCTCATGGGTGACATGTGAGTGACAATGGGACATTTCTTCCACTACAAGTCTTGTTACAGTGAATGCATTCTTTGGGATCAGTGCCTCCATCTCTGCCTGCTGTCTGAGTGACATCAGGGCAACATAGAAGTCACCCACTGAGAGTGCTGACTGCTCAGGAGGAGGTTAACCTGGGTTCTACTCTGGAATGGAACATGATCAAGAAGGAAACTCACTGTCTGCAGCCACAGAGTTGCCAAAAAGCTTGGTAGGTTCTTTCCTGGTGTGGAGATTCTGATAAATCTATGAGTAAAATCCTTTTCTCTCATTTCCCTTTCTGAAGGACCACAAAGCTGGGCGACAAGGACTCTGGATATCTAGGGCATATCAATAAATAAACTAAGAATGTTTGAGGACCACTAATCTTTATTTTCTAAATGAGGTGTGACAGGAAATAGCAATTATTGGAAATTCCGAGAGAAGCTTCAACTTCTAAAATGGAGCCTCCATGTGTTTGCAATACAACTTTGGCTCAGATGGGAGGAGAGAAAAGACTCCATCCTAGGATGCCTCCTGAGTCAAAAGCGATAATAGGCAGAGGAGGCGCTCTTCTCTGTGCTGTGAATTCTGGGGGAGTTCCTATCCTTTTGATGGAACAACAGCATTGCCCGCAAGATGAACTTCATTGGCTGCGTCTTCTCCAGATGCTTTCAATGTCTGTCTGCAGATGGTGCTTTTCCCGTTCCCTCTAGGTTCCTGTGAAGAGATCTTGAGGGATGCTGCTCTGGATGGGTTGTCTTTTCTTCACTTCAAATGTTGAAGCTCTCACTACAAATGTGATGGTGTTGGAAGTGGGATCTTCAGGAGGTGATTAGGACTAGAGGGGGTCCTGATGGTAGAGCACCATAATGAAGGAAAAGACACAAAAGATCTGACTCCCTCTTTTACCAAATGAGAATATAAGATGTAGATTCCAATTTCAAGTCAGGAGTCAGCCCTTTTGGGGGAATCAACCTGGAAAGTTCCTTGGATCTTAGACGTCCTCCGCCTCCAGAACTGTGAGGAATAGATCCTGTTAAGACACTCATTGTAAAAGTGTGTTTTGTTATAGCCGCTCAGGCTTACTGTTACAAACCCAAGTTGAAGGAGAAAGTGGTTCACATGGGGTATCACAGGAGAGCCTGTTCAATGACTAGACCCTCAGGGGTCATCCTTGGAAGCAATGACACCTAGCGTTGGGATGTGGGCCACAGCTGACTTGTGAACTCTTTGCCTCTTGTCTGTGTAATGTGTGAGTTTATCATGACTAATTGCAGAGCTGTTGAATTCACCTTGTGAGTCACACACAACACAGCTGTTTATAGGCCATAGGTGGTATGGTACTGGAGCTAGTTTGTCAAACGGCATTTGCAATGTAAGAATCTATTTTTGAAAGAACCAGTTTATAATTTTAAGGTTTATCAAACAGCTCCCAAACACTGAATAATTTAACAATGAGTCAGTGAAGTAAGATTTGTATATTTATTTTTAACCCAATACAAAGATAGTAAGATAACTCTACTGAGTGATTTGTCAAGAGATAAATCTTGTCAGAAGTGTTTGAGCAGTGATGGGAACTGTTTAGTTGCAATTAAGCCAGGAAGAAGACAGTATTGTGATTCTCTGTTTAGAGTAGGAAGAGGTCCTTACCAAGCAATCCTAGTGATTCAGGTTGGAGTTTTCAAAAGTACACAAAATGGAAGGTGAAAGCTGACTCCACAAAGTTGTCCCTTGACCTCCATGTTTTCCCCCCTCCAGCACTAATAATGAATAAAAGTTCAAAAAAGAAAAAATAGAAATATGCACAGATATTATTTTGTCTTTCTGCTATATTTTTGACCATATTTATTGAACTATAATCTTATGTTTATTGAATGGAACAATAAAACAGAGTATTTGTGTGTATTTAGATAAAATGTATGTCTTAGCAAATAAACGGAGGGGAATAAAAAGTAAAGGAAAATAAGCCATCTGCCTGGAAGAAGTGAGCAGTACTGTTCACAGAATACAGCAGTAGAGCAGAGGTGGGATGCAGGTGGGGGCTGATAGCATCAAGGACTAGAGGGTACTCCCAAGGCCAAGTGGTTCTCTTGAGACTTGAATCCCACTGTTTTCTCTAAAAGTATCTGGTCTTCAGTGAAATCTGTGACATTTGGATAAAAGACTTGGATAATAAATAGAAAAGCCATTTCAAGAGTCAGTCCTGGCTCCCCCAATGAACACACTGATGTATTGTGCTGCTTCCTACTGGTAGAACAAAGCATAGCCTCTAAGGTCTTCTTCCTCTTTATTCTTCAAACTCACCCCATCCCTTTTGATTAACACAAAAGGTGCTCCTCTTTTATGCTTCTCTCTAATACCTAGATACCCTTTGAGATTCCTGTCCGGGAATCATTGAATTTGATGCACAATTTGATCAGGTAAAATTCGGCCAAGCTTTTCTTGAAGCTTGTGTAATACAGCTAATACCCTCCCACCTACATCCATTTGACATATATTTGACTTCACTATGCTTAAATAAACATTACCCTTACCCTTTTAACTCACCTAGAGTGGTGCTCACATTCCTGGTTATGACTCATCATTTTATTCCATCTTGAAGACCACAGGGACTTGCATTTTCTCATTATTTTAAAGTAGAAGCCCAATTAATCAAGGCAGTGACCTGGGCTTCTGGGAAACGGGTATCCATTTCACTAACATCCTTTACTTCTCAATTCTCAACCTTTCCTTGCTCACCTCTCTATTTCTTGCTGGTGCCTCATCTCCTTCCAGTAAGAATAACGATGAAGCAACACTGAGCATGGTAGAGTCACGCCCCGTCTAAGTTTCATCCATCGTTGTATTGATTTCATCCTCCAATCTCGAATGGGAGGTAAGTGCTATAGAAAGAGATGTGTGTCCACTCCACATGGGAAAATTGTTGTAATGGAGGGCATCTTGGGATGGCCACCCAGTCACAGGCAGTCAAGGCTTCAGGGACATTCTGACACTCACCCCTTCATTCTAGGATTCTTCAGAAATGTTAGCAGGGGCTCGTCCCAAGTCAGTCTTCAATTATCACAATTAGATGCCTCCCAAGAATCTTCCATCTCTCTGCTCCCAACTACAGCCCACCTTCTTGATACCCGGGACATGGACTTGAATATTTATCATGTGCACATCAACTTTTGCCCATTCTTTGGCCCGGCTTGTCACTATGTAAGTGAAATACAGGCCTGTGTGATCCGTATTGTGTGGTGATACTTTGTTTGTGCTCTAACAAATAAAGCTTGCCTGAAGATCACAGTACAGAGACAGCACTAGTTAACCTAGAGGCCAGGCAGAACTTTTAATCCCAGCGCTTGGGAGGAGGAAGCAGGAAGGTCAGGAGTTCAAACCACACTGGTCTAAGTGAGATGTCACCAGTCTAAAAGATAAACAGAGTTTACACCTTTGTTTCCAACATGTGGGAGATCATGCCTTTAATTCCAGGGGTAGGGAGGTTGAGACAGGAAGTGATATGGCCAGGCAGAGATAGGAATATAAGGCAGGAGGAGACAGGAGCTCCACCTCTTTTCAGGCTGAAGAGTTGGAGAGGTAAGAAGTGAGTGTGGTTTGCTCCTTTGACTCGCTGGTCTTTCAGCATTTATGCCTACATCTGACTTCAGGTCTTTATTGTTAAGACTAATTAGAATTCACACTACAGTGTTGTTTTTCACTAACCTCAACTACAGACTGATTAAATCTCTGGAAAAGGAAAAGATGTGGGAAGCTTGGGATTTTGCTCTACAGAGTCAGACAGTCTGTGGGCGAGCCCCATACTGGGTCCTCACGTTATTTGCTTAGGGCTAGATGAGTATTAGCCAGAGAAACAGAACCAATTACTTTATTGGGGGAATTAGGTCATAAGACTGTGGGAACATGAAAAGTGTAAGATCTACAGCAGGAGGCTGGCAGGCTGGAGACCCAGGAAAGGATTGCATGACTGAGATGAAAAACTTTGGCTGAAAGACACACATTCTTCACTTGGGCCTGCAGATACTTGATGGGGTGCTAAAAGCAAGATAACACCGGGGATCACTGTCTTCCTTTTGCATTTATCTTTCTTACTTTGAGCCAGATTCCCACTCAACTCAGTACACAGGCACATCCATCATTTAAGGAATATTCATCTAAAGTGGGCAAACTTCCCTATTTACAACTCTTTAACCAAGGGTAAGAAAAGGGTTTTACTCTCAGATTTTACAGCCAGCAAAGCCCATGGAAGCTTCTAGTCATTGCTATAAATCAATGTCACCTTGGATTTGAAGAACAATGGTCTCATAGTCAGATAGCCTCAAGTTGAGGCTTCTCCTCACCTGATACAAGAGCAGTCATCTCTGGAAAACACTGCTTCCACAGGCAATGACTGTGACAATGGCTTCCCCAGAGCCACCTACTAGAACCATCTAGAATGGGATGGAGACAGTGACCAAGCATTTTGAATACCTCTTACTTTCTCCCCCAATTCTTCCTCTAGGTACAGATCAAAACAGAGAACTCTCAAGAGACAAATCTTGAATGACTGAAAGACATTTAAGGAATTGCTCATTATTCTTAATCATCAGGGAAATGCAAATCCAAATGAATCTGATATATCTCCTTGCACCTGTCAGAATGAATAAGAGCAAAACACTGATGACAGCTTATGCTGGAGAGGATGTGGAGTAAGGGGAATACTCCTCCATTGCTTGTGGGAGTGCAAACTTGTATCATCACTTTGGAAATGAGTATGGTGGTTTCTCAGAAATTTGGGAATCATCCAACCTCAAGACCCAGCAATACCATTCTTGAGTATATACCCAAAGGATGCAGAGTCACACCACAAGGACATGTGCTCAGCTATCTTCATAGCAGCATTATTCAGAGTAGCCACAACCTGGAAACAACTGAGATGCCCCTCAACCAAAAAGTGGATGAAGAAAATGTGGTATATTTACAAAGTGGAGTTTTATTCAATGGCGAAAAGGTGACATTTTTAAATTAGCAAGTAAATAGATGGAACTTGGAAAAACCATCCCAAGTGAGGAATCCCAGACCCAGAAGATAAACTCGATATGTACTCACTCGTAAGAGGATATTAGATAAATAGCAAGGGACCAGGCTATAGTCCACAACCCCAGAGAAGCTAGGTAACAAGGAGGAACCTAGCAGGGACATGCATGGATCTCCCTAGGAAGGGGAAATCGATAAGATCTTCTGAGGAAATAGTGAGTGTAGTGGGAGGGGGTGTGGAAGGAGAACATGAGGGGACAGGAAGGTCAAGTTGGGAAAGGGACAGAGATAGAGAGCAAGGAAAGGGATATCTTGATAGAGGGAGCCATTATGGAGAAAGCTTATAGGGAAATTCCCATGAATCTGCAAGGATGACCCCAGCTAAGACTCCAAGCAAAAGTGGAGAGGGTTCCTGAACTGGCCTTTCTCTGTAATAGATTGATGACTACCCTAATTGTCATCATAGAACCTTCATCCAGCACCTGATGGAAACAGATGCAGAAATCCATAGCGAAGCACTGGGCCACACTCCAGTCTAGCTGAAGAGAGGTAGGAGGGATTATATGAGCAAAGGGGTCAGGATTAAGATGGGCAAACTCACAGAGACAGCAGACCCAAGTTAGTGGGAGCTCATTGACTCTCAACTGACAGCTGGGGAAACTGCATAGGACCAAACTAAGACCTCTAAATGTGGATGACAGTTGTGTGGCTTGGGCAGTCTGTGGTCCCACTGGTGCCTCAACCTGTATGGTAGACTTTATTAATGCCTCATGGGAGGCCTTACCCTTTGTAAGGTGTGGATGGAGGGTGGGATGGAGGGGATGTGGGGGGAGAGAGAAGAAAGGGGCAAGAAACAACTGTTGTTGATATGTAAAATGAAAAAAAAAACTTTTAAATAAAAAAGTATTAGTTATTTCTGTGTTTTTCTAATAAGTTGGAAAACATCTATGTGTATCAGTATATTGATATACTTATAATAAAAATAAATATAAATATACCGTGTAGCCTAAAAGAAACAATTGTTTTGACTGCATATCTAAAAGCAGAAATACTGGGTATATTGCTACGCTCTCCTAGTGATACACACAAAATCATATAGGTTCCACTGGTACCATCCCTAGTACACTTGTGAGAGTTGATCTTGCTGCTGACCATCACGAAGCCAATATGGTGAACATTATGGATACCTCAAGTGTCTTTCCAAGATAGTGAGCCATTCATTGCTAATTTCATAGATCAATGCCTTATATTCTATTTGTATGTCCAGCCCCCCCATTGCCTAAAGCCCTTCCTAGCCTTGATCAGCATTCCAATCTTCTTTGTCCCTGACAATGATATCCTCCTTTCAGTAGAAAATAAGTCTACTAAAGAGATGGCATCACACCCAATTATCAACAAAAGGCTGAAATGTTAGGTTCAAAGTAAACTAGTTCATTTCTGTTAAGAGTAGCCACTTTCCTTTTCTCTGACAAAATGACAGATGGCTACCTGTGGTGCCTGTTGACACACCAGGACCCATGCTGGCCTCCAGATGCTTACAGTTTCACAAGTACATATTGAAAAAAAAAGTCCTTGGAATGGGACTTCTCAAGATGGAGGCTAGGATCTGAGTGAATGGTTTCCTCCATGGTTGCCAGATTTAACATGGGTAAAGCAGATGTTTATCTTCTCTCTCTTATTATTGTCATCTCATAATAAAATCAAATCTGATAGAATATTAGCTCTATAGGTTCAGTATTTGTCCTTAGTCTGTTCCTCAACATGAATCAATGATTTTATTCATATGATTGAGAGCCAGTGGGGAATGTGATGGGTAGAGAAACTCCATTCTGAGGCTGCAAAGACAATACCAGGACTCCTAGGAATGAAGAGACCCAAGAAGTTCTCTCACACCTGAGAAAACTCACTCCACAAGAACATTGTGGTCTTTGCCTTTAAAAGCAGCCCTCCCTCATTATCTGAGTCTCAGTTCCAAATTTAATCTTGAGAACTGAGGGCAGCTGCAGCTTCAAAGAAAAATTTAGCAATTTCAATTTAAACTGCATCTATGGTCTATCAGTGTTTTCTGAGTCTATAACACTTGGAGCCAGGATTTTTTTCTAAAAAGACTTTGAAATAAGATTCTGATGCTTGAACCCAAGAGTCTTTACAAAGGCACAAACCAAACATCAATGAAATAGCAAGAAATAAATACCAATGAAATAGAAAGAAGTAAATATCAATAAAGAAGTAGGAAGTAAATATCAATGAAATAGTAAGAATTTTCTAGAGAGGAATTGGAGATGAAAGTAAATAGAAGACACTGTTAACAATTCCCCTGTAATATAACAAAACAAATTAGTAATTTGCTATTTTTCTGCTTTCATTACACAATATAAAGACGAGTATCATCCTGTGACCTATACAGGTCTGTTTTCTTCTGGTGGGTTTCTCTTTGTGAAGCAATGTTCCTTAGGCAGGGAGTGGTGGCACATGCTTTTAATCCGAGCATTTGTGAGTCAGAGGCAGGTGGATCTCTGAGTTTGAGGCCAGTCCATTCTACAGAACTAATTCCAGGATACACCAAAACACCCAGTTTTGAATAAAAAGTAGAGGAAAGATATTTCAGTGCAGGACCTAAGACATGGAGAACATTAGACAGGTCTACTATACAATAGTGAGGAATCTTAGAGAAGTCCCATGCTGAGTTGGATGGGTTTGTTATGCAAGTAACTTGAACAACTCTGATGGCAGGAATCGACATCCATACAAGCTGTTGTTCCTTCCAGAATGTGAGAGGTTTTCTTACTGCCTTTCCTTGTATGTGTTTCTGGAGCTTCCCAGCCCATATATACTTATCCACACTCACACATTTCCAATTTTTATAATCTTTTCTAATAAGTAGAGAGAAATAGACTGTGTAATAAAACTTGATACTCAAATATAATATTAATTACTCATAGCTTACTTTTTCTAACTTATACTTAGCAAATTTCAAACTTATCAGAAGTTTATGGCAGAAGAAAACTCTCGTATACTTATTTGGTTCTCATGCTTGAACATATGGATAAGGTAAAATAAGCTAAAGAAATACAAAGATATACAGATATAGGCATAGATAATATAGCTATATAGACATAGATGATACAGATTTATAGATATATGTGTAGGTGATATTGATATATAGATATAACCTTTACAGAATTATTTATGCAGTCTGTATCTAGACCCTACTCTCTAGTATCCCTATCTGTTCTATACGGTTTTGGCCATTCACCTGCTCCTTGATTATGTCATGGTTCTCCAGCCAAGATGTTCCTGGCATAGAGATTCCTCAGGTTTTCTCAGAGAGGTCCGTTCTGGGCCCCAAGGGACTATCAGGGGAATGGCAGTGAAGTCGGTGAGAGTTACCTAAAGAACTAGAGAGCAAAAGCTAAGTGTGTGTCCAGAGTGAAGGCTGACTATGTATAGGTCTGTTGTGACCCTGCCAAGGAAAGGATTTCATTAAGCAGTTTCCTATCTGAGTCTTGACAGCAAGTTGGAGAGTTTACACCTCTCACTGGAAGTCACTGAAGATTAAGTAACATGGCTGTCCCATAGCCCCTGTATTTAACTACTACCCTAAATTCTCTATTAATAGTTCAGCATGTTACAGAACTAGCTATTCTCAATGTTGGGAACATTTGTGTTCTGTGCCCAGAACCCAACAGTTCACTGATCACCTCATATAGGTTTGTGCTTTCCACATACCTACCTTTGGTACAAGGAGAAGCCTTACTCTTTTATCTATAAATATTGAAGACAAGCTAACTACCAGGCATCGCAAGTCATAATTTACATATACGACCATTATTTAGTAAATGGACATGGTCTGTCTAGGAAATGGTGTATGGATGGATGGAGTTCTATTCATTTTCCACACTGGTCTATGTCACAAACAAGGACAGGAACAATTGTCCATCAAAGGCTCTGATGCCAAGAGTTGTAAGAAAAAACAGCTCTCAAAACTGTGACCCATTTCATGGTTCAGTACTGCATATGCAGTGGAAGTTCAAAAGCCCATCCTTGTCCAACAAGCCATTACCTCTGAGCCTACAGTTGACTGATGCACTTACTTGAGACCAATTTCTTTACCCCCTCGCAGACACTCAGTCCCTGCTACTCACAGAGAGGCTGAGCAAGAAATTCCCTTTAAGGAGAATTAAAAGGTCTCAAATGACAAATAAGCTGTGTATTAAAAACATAAAGTATTTATTAGACATTAGGGAGGGAACAACTTCAATTTTCAAAAACAACACTGAAAACTATGTAGGCATATCTTCCAGGCCTTCTAATTCTAAGAGAATGGATAGAAAATACTTACAATAACAATGGAAATGGATGGTCGTCCATTTGTTGAACTGAAAGTTCAATGGGAGGCAAGGAAATAGGAAATTAACTTCTCAGAGAAGCTACATAGCTTGGAAGTGTCCTGGCTAAATAACATAGAAAGCATCAAAGAAACATAAAACCAGGTTGTTTGTATGCAAGAAATTTTATTTGAGAAGAAAACAATTGGGGCTGAGTACAAGGGCAATGACAGATCATGAGGTCTCAGAGCACGTGGTGATCTTGTCTCTCGTCTCATCTGCAGCAGAGTAGTTTATTGCCTTTGCACTTTGCACGGACACGTTCATGTGGTCTGCATAGCCTTCTACAGGCGCAAAATGGGGACTTTCTTGAGGCTGAGGAAACAAAGAACAACAGGCATTAAGTATGGTAGCCAGCAGTGTGCAATAATGTACAACACTATGAAGATGCATGATACACGGTACAGAGCAGGTCTGTTTGTATTGGTGACATCACAACCAGCACTATGATCAACTCCAAACACTGGGAAAAAATACATTTAGCAAGTGTTGATCACATGCATGACTCAACACCCATTTTTCAGGCCTTCAACTTTTAATGTCTTCCTAACCCAACACATCCATACACTGGCATTTGGTTCCTAAATCTTTTCTTTTAAGAAAAACAGATTTTTCTTTAAATAACAAAGTTATCAATTGGATAGACAACATGCTACTCAATATGTTCTATACTTTTAAAACAATTCCACAAATAAAGTTCATATAAAAAAATAAAAGAAAGAAAATGAGTTGCACTCTTTTGACTCACTTTTACTTCTGAAAATAAGACAGTGAAGATCCTAGAGGACCAACAGAGAACCCGACCTGAATCACACAGCAGTGGACAGGATTCCAGGGCACATCTTGAACCCTCTCAAGAGACTCCAATCCACTATCATCCTGGGCACCAGCACTCACCTCCATCTTGAAGAGCAGAGTCTTCTGGATCCCCAAAGGAGATGGACACATCCTCGTCCTCTACCCCTGGCTGCTCATCAGTTTTAGTCTCCTCAGCTGCTTCTGGGAGAGGATCAGCCTGGGCCTGGAAGGCCAGTAGGGCAAGGAGAGAGAGGAGGGCAAGTGTCTTCATGACTGAGAGTCACCTGGAGGAAGGGGGAGCAGGATACCAGTGTGTGGGGAGTGAGGAGCCCACCTGCATTTATAGGGCTGTCATAGAAGGTTCCGAGACAGGCCCTGTAGTTAGAGAGGACAGAGACTGTGGCCTTCAAGAGCCCTTTGATGTTCCTCTGTTCTCACATCTGCCGTCATAATGTTGGTCTGCGTGCTCAGTGACAGCTCTCCCAACCAGCTGATAATGATGAAAGGGCCTTGCTATTTTCTACTGTTCCCCATCTGCTTGAGTATTTACCTTTCCATGGTCAGGGAAGAAAAGAAGCAGACATTTTCCAAGCTAGTAGGCTCATAGAACAGGGGAATGGGGGTTGTGTTCTGAAGTTGGAGCCTGCTGTTCTCAGAAAGTATGAACTCTGGACCAGACCTGACCACATAAGTTTGCAGTCAGTTCTTTGAGTGATTATGGGGTATTATCACTTTCATGAAAGAAGATTCTTTGTGAATCCCTTCCTTGGGACCATTATGGTGAGAGTAAGATGGCCCTGGTGAATTGAGTTCAAGAAGAGACGAGGGACAGATTTGGTCAGAGTGAAACTAGAGCAGGATCCAGTCTACAACATGAATTTTCACCAGGGGAGGTGGGAGACCCACAGAACGTCTTGTGCCGAGCTTCTCTTAAGAGCTACTATATGCAAAGATCCTACATAGTCATTACACCATGTTTATAAAATTTGCTTAATTCATTACCAGAAAGTATGCAGTCGAGGAAGTGCAGATTGAAGAACATATGGGAACAAAACAAGCCATTACCTCTTCAGAAATAGCACATTCCTATGCTGCTTCTTTCTCACACAAGGCTGTTGAAAACAAATTGTACCTATGTGAAATTGAGTTTTAGAGGATGTTGCTTATGAAGAATTCATGTATATATACATATATGATACCTAACATATAAATATAGCCTATGATATTTATACCATAGGGCAGGAAGTCTTATGACTTTTGTCATATTCATTATACTATTATTAATGACCCATTTCATTCTCCTTTATTGTCATGTGATTTTTTGACAATTGAATATTTATACATTTAATCAGCACCATAGATTACTCAATGCCAAATTGATTTTGATATATCTTATGCTGAATATTTTATATTTTACATGGAAAAATATCAATGCATGTATCATATAACATACTCCTTAATTTATTTTTCCCCTAGCTTTTTTGATATATAATTGATAAAAGTGATATATAATATATACAGTGTGATGACTTGGTACATGTTTACACTGTGAACAGGTCACTACAACCAGCACAATTTACACAACTATCAACTCTTAAATAATCACTTCAAATGTCTTTCTTTTATTTTTTTGAGAATAAAATATAATTACATCATGTTTTCCTTCTTTTTCTCCCTCCAAACCTTCCAATAAGACCCCTCATCTCTCTATCAAATTTATGGCCTCCATTTTTTTGTTCATCATTATCACATACACATATGTTCAAGCATATATATTCATAAATACATAAATACACTTTTTCTGTGAGTGTGTGACTTGTATGATGTTTTCAGTGATGATCATTCAGTACTGGATAAGTAATTGGTGTGCTCTCCTGGTGAAGACTATTTCTACCACTATGTATTTTTAGTTGCCTGTAGCTTTTGTGCAGGGCTGAGGCCTCCTGGATTTTCCCCATCCACTTCAGTATATCTATTGTTATTGTTCTTCTTCATCTCATGCTTAGGAAATAATTTTGGAGAGATTTTAAGGGTGTAACTTCTGACATTCTTTGGAGGCACGATATATATAGCAAACTTCCTGATCATCTGTCTCTCCCAGTCTTCCTGCACTTGAGCCTTAGGTGAGGCAGTTGTTTTATAGATGTATCCATTGGGACTGAACTCGACATTTTTATTAGTTGTGGTTTTCTATAATAGTCTCCCTTGCAAAAGTTCTTTCCTTGATGAGGGGTAAGGCCTACAAATATCTGTGGGTATAAAGACAGATATTTAGAGTGCAGTTAGGTATGTGCTGGCTTAGTAAAACCACTAGCGTCTTCATGGCTGAGAGTCACCTGGAGGATGGATGAACCAGAACCAAGTGTGTGTGGCATGAGGATTCGTCCTGTGTTTATAGTTCTGTTAGGAGAAAGCGCAGTGATAGGGTTTGCTGATAGGGAAAGGCAGCACTGATAGGAAAGAGGGAGCTTCCCCCTCAAATCCCATTGATGTTTCTCTGTTCTCACAGCTTCCAGCAATGGTTCTGTGTTTAGTTTCTGCTTGCGGAACAGCATGATGGGAAGGATATCGTTATCATTTCCTAATGTTTGAGTCAATATTTTCTCACTAATATTGGGAAAGGGGAAAGAAAGCCACAAAATTATCCTGTCTTTTCAATATTTTTGAACAATTTGGGGGAAAATGGTATTGATTCTTTTACAAACTTCTGGAAGAATTTGGCAAGTGAAACCATCCTTTCCTGGGACTCTCCTTGTGGAGCTCCCTATGCATTCTCAAAGTTACATATGGTTGTTAGAAACCCAGAATGGAAAACATAGACTTGATCTAGACACAGGGGCCTGTTTTCAAAGCCCTTCTAAAGCACTAGTGTATGCTGTGGATACTGCAGCTTAACAAGTCCAGGCCTTTGAAGGGAATGGACTTATGGTGCTCTGTTTTATATTAGTAAGCATACAAAGTGATGGGTCTTATTACGGCATTTTCTTTTACACACCAATAACTGACATTCTTCAAGGACACCACTAATGAGAACCTTAAAGGTCCAGTGTTTAAGATTTTCTCTCAGGATTCAAAATAAAGATACAGCAGGCAAAAGGAACTAAAATCTGACAATTTAGAAGTCTACTCATAACATGTTCTTTCTATCCATGTCTCTTTATTGTTCTCTCTTCCTTGTCCTCTATTCTAATTCTTCTGTCCTAACTGTCTCGGCTCTAATTCTCTCTCTCAATCCAAATTTCAGTTTTAGTTCTTTGCTATATTTCTTTCCTTCTTTGTCATTTTCCTATCTCTGCTAATTTCTGGGACACTTTTGCTTCTGTTTTCACTTCTGCCTGTTGCCACTTCTCTTTGTTCTTGCCCAGCTATAAGGACCCATGAAACTGCAGCCATAGGTGACCAGGCAGCCTACATAAACAAACAGGTGAAGCCTATGGCCCTGGATCTATTAGCATTTTTGTCAAATGTTAATAAGCTTCAATGGTAGCAAGCTGGTAAGTTTGTTGCTTATCAGAGACACCAGTGAAGGTTTGTCTTCCTCTGTGTAGAGTCGATGGTTAATTATTTTTTCCTGAGAGTAAGGCACAAGCAGTATGTCTCCTGGACTAAAGTCATCAGTAAATTGGGGTGAAGGTGTGGCAAGGAGTTAGAAATCTTTTAAACAAGGTTAGTTTTAGGTCATCATTTTTCTTATCTTTAAGTGAGGTAAGACCAATGCGTGCTTTTTTTTTTAATCTATGTGCGCTGCTATGAATTAATAGCTTTGAGCATGTAGTAATCTTATGTTTTTGGATATCTAGGAATGTCTCAAATGAAATGCTTTTGGCTGAAGCCTAAATGCTGACCAAATGCCTGTCAAAAAAAGATAATTGGAAAAAGGCAGAACTCTACGTTTACATAGGAAAAAGCAGCAAAGACCTAGTAGTGGGAAGCAGGTTTTTTGACTGTGTGACCGTCTTCACACAGAGCTCAAATAGTGCTGAATTGTGTAAGATAAATCCCATATTTGTAATAGAACGGGAGTCAGATATAGCAAAAAATATTACAGCAAGAAACAGCTACTTTATTCATAAAACAATAAGGCTAGAATGCTTTTCTTCCTGGCCTAATCCTTCAAAACAGAGTCCCTGACTCTGGTGAGTTGACCTCATGAAAAGATGGACTGTAATAACTGTATAAGGTTGCAGATTGTAGCACACAACAGTCATTTAAGTGTGGCCTGGGGAAGCTGCATTAATCAAAAGTTGTCAGAGCAACTAGAGTCAAAATCAGTAAAAAAAAAATGCAGTAGAATTCTCCCTCATGCCAAATATTAAATTCAACACATAATGAGCCAGAGTCAGTGAGCTGACACCTGAATATTGAAGCCCAGAGAAGACGGGCGAGTGCTCATGTCTTACGATTAGCAGTGAAGAAAAGAAACACGTGTTCCTCATCAGAATCCGTGTGTTTAGCTGTGAAGGACACATTCAGGAAAGTCAGTAGAGTGATCACAGCCCCTTCGGTGGGCATGTTTGCTCATGTGAGACAGGGTCTTACTAGACAGCCCGGTCTGGCATGGGCATCGCTGTCTTCCTGCCTGCTTCACCCTGGTGCTGGAGTCACAGCCTGTGCCACCAGGCCTGACCTCGGTTGTGCTTGAAAGAGACTTGTTTTGAGAAAACACTAGATACCTGGGTCACGAGGAGTCAGGACTGGAGCTTCTCCACTGGGTATAGAAGCTATCCTCAAAGGCCATCACTGACATTGCTGCAGAGTCAAGATATTTAGGGACCCTTTAGCCATTCTTGGATGAGTACCTTTAAATTGCATGGATATATATTAATGGAACTGTGGGATGTATTTTGAGGATTAAAATGTTTCTGGCTTGTCCTAAAAGCAATAGGTTGCAACAGAGAGCAATAACATGACAATTGATAAATATTTAAGCTGCTGGAGATCAGTAAAGTTTATCATTATTTTTTCATTGCTCATCAAATAACCATTGTCAGCCATCAAATAGATGCAACATGTTGTGTAAGCAGAAATCCCAGATCAGAGGATCATCAAAGGGTTCATGGGAACAAGGGAGCTTTGTGTGGTTCCCATCCACATTTCCAAGCCTTCCCCTTACACATATGCAGACCCTAAAATCTAATCTTTTGAAGAATCCCGTTTTCTGTGATCCAACTTTTAGTGACCAAATACAAACAAGATAAGCAACTCAACTCCCTTTTCTTTCATAAGTTACCAGGTTGAAGAGGAGCCTCTAGGATGACTTGTTTCTGATCTGAGGTCTTATCTCTGATGTGTGCTTGACTCTTCAGCCCCACCCGTACACCCACAGCTAAGCCAGTTCAATAGCCATTCATCTAGAAGTGTGCACTGACATGCAGTCTATTGAATCCCAGGTCTGTCTGTCTATGTTCAGCTGCTCCAGGGTGCTTCCATATTGAAATGTCTTTCTACATGAGACACGGACCAAGGATCCACACTCTTCTAGTGAAGGAGGACCAGCTCCCACAGAGAAGAGGACGGATAGTATGGCAATGGCCAGCAGGTGGCACAGCCGTCGTAAAGGCTCTTGTTTTCCCAGAAAGTCTTTAGAGGCCTCTCAGAGTAGTAGGCATCAAACATAAGTCTGCCGAACTCAACATTAACACATTAGTTCTTCATCAGCTCTGATCAGCTACTGCATGAAGGCTCTCTGATTACCATTAGGGTCGTCACCAATCTGATTACACAGATAACCAGTTCAGACCACCTATCCCCTATTGCTACGAGTCAGCTAGGCCCATCCTTGGAGATGTGGGTATTTCCCTTGCACCACGTTTCTACCCGGTCCCAAAAATGCCCCCTTCCCATCAAGATATCTATCTCAATATTTTCTCCTTCTCTCCTGCCCCTGATGCCTCATGTGTGCTCCCATTCCTACTCACTCCCAGTTTACCCAGGAGATCTCTTTAATTCCCCCTCCCAGGGAAATCCATGAGTTCCTAATTACCTCACCTCTCAGGGGCTGTGGATAGTAGCAAGTGCTAACCTTTCTTAATGCTACTTAAAGTTGTGTCTGTGGAGCTGATACAAATCTAGGGTTTTATGGACAGATCTCGGCCTGTTTAGTCAAATCCTAACATTCAGAATGAGGATGCTGGCGTCTTTGAGAAGTCAGGTCATTGGGACTATGGACACTTGAAGATAATCATGATGTTTCCTGCCTCCCCCATTGCCAATGGCTTTGAATGTGGTTTTCATCTAAATGAGGCAGAGTTAAGAGGTGAGAATGATTACAAACACATTGAACATTCTTATTACTCATCAGAAGCCTGTGTGATAACATTGATGTTCCTACAAACTGCAGTCAGGAATTTCCTTATAGCAATCTGGTACTTGATTCTCAGAGCCTTTCTTGAAGACAACAGATAGCCACAAGCACACACATGCACACACACACACACACACACACACACAGAGAGAGAGAGAACAGGCTACAAGGGCTTTATTTAGATATAAAGGAGGAAGAAACTCAAAGACACAGCATGGGACAAATAGTATCCTTCAGGTTCTCATCTCATATGGACCAACCTATTCTTTTTGTCCGTAGTGATCAGTCACAGCTGAGTCCGTCGATGATGCTATGGCACCTGCAGGCCCCAATGAGGCATTCTCAAAAACCACAGCCCCTTTTTTTGCAAAGCAGGTCAAGACTGACCTCACATCTGGGGATACAGAGATCACAGAAAACACTCAATGCCCGAGTCAGCAGGATGGAAGAGATCCTGGGTAAGACATGTGCTAGGTGAAGTGGGTTCCCCATATTCATCATTACTGGCAACAGCCTGAGAAATCACAACCAGTATGAATAAATATACATGTCAAATATTGAACTTGCACAAAACTAAAGGCCAGTAACAACTAGTCTTAATTTTGTTTGTTTTTATTTTTATGATTCTATCATAACACATTTTAGTACATCCTTCCATCACCTAAATACCTACGCACATACTTCCAGATACTAAAATATACTGGACACAATAAAATATTCTCCCTATGATGAACTCTAGCCATTTAGATCTAGAAAGAAAAGCAGCTACTAATCTATCTATGTACTAACCCAGTGATAGTCGCAAATATATCTTGAAAAAAATTGCACAAAGAATTTGATTTAGTCAGCTTTTGCTGTTGAAAGAGAAAAATAAAGAAGTAATTAAGCTCCCTGGCTAACCTGATATCAGAATTCATCTCCATACTTCTTCTCTGCTCCAATCCCTAACATGCTGACATCATTTATTTGTATCTTGAAGAGCAGTACTTTCATTCCCTCCAATATGGATGTATCCTGGTCATCCTCTCCCAGCTGCACCTGGTCTAGAACTGCCTCAGCTCTTCTTTGGTGAGGTTCTGCCTGGATCTGGATGGCCAATAGGAAGAAGACCATGAGTAGAGTGAGCGTCCTCATGACCGTGGATTTCCTAGTGGATGAAGAATAACAAGAACCAAATGTGGTGGGGGGAGTATGTGAAGAGAAGGGTCTAAGATAAGTCCTGCAGTTGGACAGGGTCTGCAGTGATAAGGAGACAGATCTGTCCTTAAGGTTCTCCTGACGTTCTTGCTCTCACGGCTTCCATGAGAAACGCCTCCACCTGTGTGTCTGGTGACTGCCTTAGGTCTCAGCTGGTGCGGATGAGGACTCTGCTATTGTTTCCTGTTACTTGGATTTCGTACTTCCCCTTGAACGAGTGTTTACTTTTTAATGTTAAAATTGAAAAAAAGAAGCAGCACTCTCATGCTTTAACTTCAAGGACGCAATGCCTCTACCTCTCTGAAGATGGATTATGGCGTCCTCTGAAGCTGTCCACTCTGGGGTCAGACCTGGATCTTGCAAGTGTTTTTTATCAAGACTTGTTAGGGTTGGTTCTGTTACAGCACATGGGCTGACCACATTGACATTTTCAAACTATGGATGAAATGAGCTCTTGTGATTCTAGGTGAAGTATAGGTCCAAGAAAGAGGACTGTTTATTCTTTCAACCTCTATAAAATTATGAGTGACAATTAAGAATTAAGAATACTACCCAATGATCTGATGCTCAATTGGATCTTGACCTTCGATAAAATGGATTAAAGACATAGACATAAGACCTGAAAGCAAAAAAACTGCTAGATAAAAATTCAGAGCTGTATATGGACAGTGATTTCTTACAGGACACCAAATTTACTAGGAACAAAGCAAAGGTGATCAAGCGAGATTGTGCCAGACTGCACAGCTTCTACATGGGAGAGGGAATGAGTATGGGAGTGAAATGGCCAGTTAGAATATGTTGGGAAAGGTTGACAAAGCATGCACCTGATAAGAAACTATTATCCATATGCAGGCAATGTGTTTGCTGATTGACTCTTACTGGAGTTATGCTATCTGTACCTGAAGACAGAGCACATATGTCCTTAGATAATTACATTTCAAAAGGATGACGCACATTTTATTAAACACTAATTTTATTTTGCCCAGGACACAAGTGACTTATGTAAGACAGAAATGTCTTGTGGGACTTTGGTAACTGCATATTGTGTTTGCAACCACTAGTCAATATGCTGTGATATTTGGGGCAAAAAGAGCTGTACTGGCTAGAATTACACTTTCTCCATCAATTCATTTGGTGCAGTTGGTATCTGTCATGGCCCAACACAGATTGTTATGGCAACTATCAAGTGAGATGCTTCTAGCATCCTTTCTTCTTAAAGAGTGGTGGGATATTCTATTCTCCCAGCATGCCTCCTTCTTTATCAAATGTCTGCTGCGGACCCACATTGTCTGTGTTGCTGGGGTCTGCAATCTAAGGGGTCACCATCGCTCTTTTCCTAAGATATCACACATAGCTCCCTTAAGGAGTGTGCAGTATTCTGGGGTCTGAGTCTTAGCATCCTGTAGCAACCCTTTCCTTGGGATCCCTTCCAGGCTGCAATAAGCCAGCAAAGCTATCAGGCAATTCGCTTGAGGGTACATTGAAGAGCATACTAGTGTCATTGGGCAATGCACTTTCTGTATGTGAAGATCAGTTTCCTGCATACAAAATACATCCTGTCATCCACAACACAGGTGCTGCAGATAATGTGCACATCATAGTGTGGGATGCCTTGCTTTACTTCCTACCCATTCGGCTTCTGTACTAACCTTTTCTAATATTGGTAAAATTTGTCTCTCTGGAGCTGTAAATAACTCAGGGCTTAGAAGGTAGAGGTATAATCCAGGCCTGCTTATTGAAACTTCAACACTTTTTAAGGCAACAGAGACTATATGAAAGTTAAGATATTACAACTGTATAATCCTGAAGCTGAAGGTGGTAGTTGTGAATCTACCTAAAGGCAGAGTCAAAAGTCAAGAGAGAAATGTGGCAGGACCATCAGTACTCCGAGCTTTCAATTTTGAGCACTTTGTGTCTGCACCACGGGGTTGTCGTTAATATTGTTAGTATTTGGAAGCAGTATTTTGTAAGTGAAAACTAAACTATTTGTTTATTTGCAAAAATTTCCTTGAAGATTCAGGTACTTGATATCCAGAGTCCTGACTGAACCTTATAAGAAGTTCTGAAAGAATGCAAACACACAGGGAGAATATTGCAAGCAATTTATTGGAAGTCAAGGAGAAACACACACGCAGTGGTAATCGGGGGCCTCGTTTGGACCTGTTCATGTGGTTTCAGGTCTCCAGGCTCAGCTGCAGCAGAACACAGAGTTTTTGCCACCCTTGGTGTATATCCCACTGATGCGTTCTTGTATTATACAGGATCAGCTTCTACAGTGGCATATCCTGGGCTTTCCTGAGGCTGGAGACACACAGAGAGAATCAAGAGTGGAATTTGGAGGCAGGACGGAGAGTAAACAGTCAGTGAAGGTGTTTGAGACAGCGTGGGCATACTTTGTTGGCAACATTACAGCCAGCAGCATGGTCAACACTGTGGATGAAATAACGCACTTGAGGAGCGTTGGTAATCTGCAGGACTTGGGGTACATTCAGATGTGTCTTTAACTTTAGTGCCCCTATTCTAAACATCCCCATATTTGAGTGCATTCTTACACTGAGTTGAAGTTCACATAGACAAACAAAATTTTATCCTTATACCTAAGTCATTTTGTTCTGTAAGTGTCTACTCAGTATATTGCTCTATATTCTGGTGAAATTCCTAAGCGTATTTTAAAGGAAAAGTGTTATGATAAAAAAAAATCTCTTCACATTTTGGGAGTCATCAAATTATGTGCTGTGGCTCGTGTCTCAGATTCGGCATTTTTTTTAAACGTTTAGAAAATGTGAACTTACCAAGAAACAACATTCAAAATGTAGAGAGGTTGGTGTGCTTCTTCCCCATCCCAAGAAGGGCTTCTATGTTATGAAGCTACTGCAGATCATATATGAACACTTTTCTGAACAGTGTTTTTACTCATTTCTCCTCACTATGTGTATGCCAAATGATACAGTACATTCTACTAATTTCAGTCAGCATATGGCGTCCCAGTGTTATTAGTGCTAGCTCATATTTACATGATGATAAATACTGTTCAATTATTAAAATGTCTTTATTACAGCTATGTACAATAACTAGCAAAGAGGAAAGAATACTATTTACATGCATATATTTAAACATATATATGTCATATTGCCTAATGGGACCAACCTTCTCAATACCTTTATAGACTTAAATTTATCGGTCAAAAAGCACATCTTATATTTCAGACATATCCCTCACGATCTTTCTGATCTTTACACAGTTGGCCTCAGTAGCCCTTACTAAATTTGCATACCCAAAAGACCACCACACTCATATGAATGACTTATATTGTGTTTTTACATTCCATTCTTCCTGCCAGTGTTCAGCACAGAACTGGTCATTGAAGTCCCAGAGGTCTTCAAACCGTTAAAGTGTCACCTTGGGAAGAATATCCTTGTTGGGTAAGAAAGTCAGTTTTGATGTGCACCATAGTTTTCATTTTCCTGTTATTTCACATTCTCTCCTCTGTCTCTTCCCACGTCCTGGCAGCAGCAGCTCTCTCACTTGAAGGAAGACTTCTGCTCAATTTGACACCAGAGAGGTAGAGATCGGAATCCTCTGTCTGTGAAGTCAGTGTGGCCACTTAGCTTCTTCTGGGTTTGTTGAGTCCTGGGGGAAAAACAGATCTTTATTTTATGAGTTTACAGACTGCTGCAGTTTTTTTTCAGTCTTTTTGCAGGTTCGTACATGCACTATGATGATTTCCTCATATTTCCTGGTCCCTATCTATCAGAACCAAATCGATATTTCAGTATCATACTTGTTCACATTTTCTCATGGATTGACGGCAGAAGTGCACACACCTAAGTAGTGTGTGCATGTGTATGTGGGCAAATGCTCATTGAGGGAGGGATTGGCACATTCATCTTACTTTTTGAAAGAAAAATATCTGCTTATTTTTATTTTAGAAGTATAAGTAACTTGCCGGCATGTGTGTGTGTGTTTGTGTGTGTGTATGTGCATGTGCGTGTGTTTCTGTTGCCTGTGGAAACCTGAATAGACAGTCAAATACTCTAGAACTTGAGTTACAGAGAGCTATGAGCTGCCATGTTGTTCTGGAACAGAACCTGGGTCCTATGCAAAAACACCAAATGCTCTTTTTTATTGATTTTTACTGAGTTCTACATTTTTCTTTGTTTCCCTCCTTGCCTCTCCCTCCCCCTGCAACCCTTCCCTCAAGGTCCCCATGCTCCCAGTGTACTCAGGAGATCTTTTCTTTTTCCACTTCCCATGTAGATTCGATCTATGTAAGTCTCTTTTAATGTCCTCATTGTTATCTAAGTTCTCTGGGATTGTGATTTGTAGGCTGATTTTCTTTGCTTTATGTTTAAAAACCACTTATGAGTGAGTACATGTGATAATTGTCTTTCTGGGTCTGGGTTACCTTACTCAAAATAGTATTTTCTAGCTCCATTAATTTTCCTGCAAAATTCAAGATGTCGTCATTTTTTCCTGCTGTGTAGTACTCCATTGTGTAAATGTACCACATTTTCCTTATCCATTTTTTCAGTTGAGGGGCATTTAGGTTGTTTCCAGGTTCTGGCTATGACAAACAAAGCTGCTATGAACATAGTTGAGCACATGTCCTTGTGGCATGGTTGAGCATTCTTTGGATATATACCCAAAAGTGCTATTGCTGGGTCTTAAGGAGGGTTGTTTCCCAATTTTCTGAGAAATTGTCACACTGACATCCAAAGGGGCTGTAGCAGCTTGGAAATAATCTCAATAAGTAACAGCAGTTAGCACTCTGAAATGCAGACGTTAAGGTGGAAGATAGGGTAGTGGTTAAGTGCAAGGGATCAGGTCACAGATCTGTTGCCTAATCTTTAGACAATTAACCTGAGTCAGGCAATTAACCCCTTCGAAGTTCCTTTACAAAGTCACAGAGTATTGGCCAATAAGAGCAGCAACTTTATTGGGTTGTTGTGCAAACCTCTAATTGGAATAGATAAAAAGCACTTAGTAATCAATAAATATAAACGAATACAAATATACTGCATATGTTATGTATTTTGAGAATGCTACCTAACATCTTAACTTTCAAATGATCATGTTTCCTATGAAGTCACACAAATCTGACTTTGTAATAATTAAAAATTAATATGTGGTGTTATTTTTGTTTTATTTGTTTTTTAAAATTAAATCTGTTTAACCTCTACAATACAGGTTATTAGATTATTGATTATTTTTGTAAAAAAATATTAAGGCAGACGTAAGAGAGATGAGGCATAATAACTAGGCCAGCAGGAGCACTTGGGCTTCTTTTATAACACTGTATCTGGAATCTGTGCTCTTCTTTGAAACCGGCACTCCCTGGAGTCAGGGTTTTGCTTAAATCAGTTTCATTTAAGAGTCAAACACTCCCATTCCACAGACTCTTGACTAAGCCCCATAGTAGCGTGGCTAAGTACCATGTAACTTCCAGGTCTCAAAGTGAGCAGTACTTTAGTTTGTCTCCATCCTTGGTACACAGAATGAGAAGCATGAATCACTCCTTACATGTACCCCAAAGATTCAGAATCAGTTAAGTAAACTGTAGACTGCTCCCATAATGGCAGAACAATCTTGGCTAGGCCTGAAGATGCAGAAAGAATATAAGATAATGATCAAAGTAATTACCAGTGAGTGACACACTGTCTTTAAAGGATCACTTGAGGTATCCAGAATGTCATATTGACTTCATGATGGTCAACAGCATGATCAGCTATCATAAGTGTGCTAATGATGGGAATAGCAGAGCACATATGATTTTACATGTATCACTGGTGTAATGTAGTATCTTCTTCTAGATATGCTGTCAAAACTATTGCTACTTTTGGGCTGTATAATATAGTTACATGTGTTTTTGTTACACATGTGTCCATATAATGAAGTACATTGATTTTTTTTTTCCTCGTTTTTGGAAAAAGCACAGAAATAACAAAATTCTACCTATTGGAAAAGGATCTCAGTTTCAGATATAGCATATCCCATGAATAATTTAGGCAAGAGAAAACTTTTATATACTGCTGGGAGCTATGAACCCCCAGATCCTGAATTTCTTGTAAACAACATGTTATACTTGCAGCTGCTCTGAGCTCGAGACCCTCAGGAGTTCCTGATGGCAGGGGAGTGATTTCTGGTGGATTTGGCTGGGACGTGGCTATCAGTTAAGGATCCCTACATAAGCTGCCCCTGGATACAATAAAGGGGGCATTCCTGTTTCAAGGATGACCCATGTCTTTGTCTGTGTGTCTTTGTGTGTTTAAATCTCCAGGCCCTTGCCCGGATCGCGAATGGTCCTGTAGTGCAGGCGCCGCAATACAGAAGTAGTACCGTACTGTCACATGGTACAGGCGCGAATGGTCCTGTAGTGCAGGCACCGCAATACAGGAGTACTACCGTAGTACACATAGTACAGGCGCGAATGGTCCTGTAGTGCAGTCGCCGCAATACAGGAGTACTACCGTAGTACACATAGTACAGGCGGGCGGTACAATATGCTTCTTTTTTTTCTTGTACAACACGAGTAGTAGGATAAAGGTAACAGTTCAGTACATAAAATTGTCCTGTTGAATACTGGTGGTTTCATGGAGCGTTTCCTAGCATGGCTGAGGATGAGAAACAGCTGGTAACACACTTTATTGTGTGGTTTTATTCATTTACTTTAATCCTAATCTCCTAAAAGTAAAAAGTCCAAGATCTCGGATATGAGCTACCTCACATCATTGATTTGATTGTGAGGAGGCTTCTGGAATACACTATGAGATGTGCTCAGGTCACACTGGCTTCTTCAGAACAACCTGCTCTAGCTTCACTCTGACCCCAAATTTGTCCATTCGATCAAATCTTTAGCTTGATTCACCAGGGCCATCTTACTTTGTCCACAATGACTCCAAAGAAAAGAATTCACAAAGTATTTCTTCACACGGGTAGTAATATCTGAGAATCACTCAAAGAACTGACTGTCAAATCTATAGGTATTCAGGTCTGGTCCAGTGTCCACACTTTCAAAGAAGAGCAGGCTCCAACTTCAGAAAACCAAAACTCCTTATTCCATGACCTTGCAAAATTGGAAAATGCCCTCCTCTTTTCTTTATTGATCATAGAAAGATAAATACTCAAACAGATGGGAAACAGGAGAAGACTGCAAGAGCCTTTCATCATTGTTAGCTGCAAGGGAGGGCTGTCACTGAATACACAGACCAACACCATGATGACATCTGTGAGAACACAGGAACATCAAAGGATGGCAGTCTCTCCCAGTTCCCATCAGTGCATGTCCTGCCTACCTACAGGATCTATCTCTGCACCTTCTATGACAGCCATATAAATGCAGGCGGGCTCCTCACTCCCCACACACTACACTGGGCTCTTGCTCACCCATCCTCCAGGTGACTCTCAGCCATGAAGACACTATCTCTCCTCTCTCTCCTTGCCCTGCTGGCCTTCCAGGCCCAGGCTGATTCTCTCCCAGAGGCAGCTGAGGAGACTAAAACTGATGAGCAGTCAGGGACAGAGGACCAGGGTATAACCATCTCTTTTGGAGGCTCAGAAGGCTCTACTCTTCAAGATGGAGGTGTGTGGGTGGTACCAAGTAGGATAGTGGGTTGGAGTCTTCTGAGAGAGGTGGAAGATGTGCCCTGGAATCCCACTAAGAGCTGTGTGATTCAGGCAGGAAACAATGTTGATCCTCTACGATCTCCCCTGTCTTATTTGTAGAAGTAAAAGTGAGAGTCAAAAGAGTGTAACTAATTCTCTTTCTTTTAAGTTTCTTTGAACTAAAAATTTATCTGTGGAATAGTTTTAAAATATAAAACACATTGATTAGTCTTTAGTCTATTCAACTGATAATTTTGTTATAGAAAGGAAAACCTGTTTTGTTTATAAGGATAGATTTAGGAACCAAATGCCTGTGTATGAATGTGTTGGGTCAGGAAGACACTAAAAGTTGAAGGACTGTGAAAAGCGTGTCAAGTTGTGCATGTGACCAACACTTGTTAAATGTATTTTTTCACGGTGTTTGGAGTTGGTCACGGTGCTGGGTGTGATGTCACCAATACAAACAAACTACTCTGTACCATGTATTTTGCATCTTCATAGTGTTGTAAACTATTGCACACTTCTGGTTACCTTACTTAATGCCTGATGTTTTTTACTTTTCAGCCAGAGGAGGCAACTTGACATGCTCTTGTAAAAATCGCTGCAAACGTTCTGAACATGTCTATGGATCCTGCAACACAAGGTACCTATTCTGTTGTCGCTGAGACCAGAGACAAGATCACCACATGTTCTGAGACCTCATGATCTGCCACTACCCTTGTACTTAGCCTAAATTATTTTTCCTTCTCCAATAAATTTTCTTGCAGAACAAGAATTTGTTTTGTTTCTTTGATGCTTTTTATGTGGCAGTTAAGTCAGGACTCTTCTGAGCCAGGTAGCAGAATCTTCAATGAATCCCATATAAAGGAAATCTTGGCTACATTTTGGTAGTCACATCAAGGGTGAACAGAGGTTAGGTTCAAATTTACATCTCAGTGACTCTGCTCTAGCTCCTTCTCCTGTCTATCAACTCTACTGTCCTTTACATGGGACTCACCCTCAGAACCATGTCCCACATTCCCACAATCCCTTCTTCTATTGAAGGACATTTAGCTGTTTCTGAGGACATTGCACAGCAGCAAGGCACATGACTGACAAGTATCTGTGGAGCAGGATCCTGGGTCATTGGGCGTTTGCCAAGGAGTGGTGCAGCTGTGCCATATGGAGATTTCCTCATGGTCTCTGAGAAGTCTCTGCACTGGTTTCCATGGTTCCTGCACAAGTTTGCAATCCCACCAACAGTGTGTAAGGGCACCCCTTCTTTATACCCCCACTCATATCTGTTGAAATTACTCATAACTGGGGTTAGATGAAACCTCCAAGTACTTTTAATTCACATTTCTCTAACTGTTAACAATGTTAATCATGTTTAAATAGAGTTCTTAGTTATTTTTACTAGTTCTTTGAAAGTTTCTAACAACCTGTTAACCTGTTGGGAGAATAGTTATCTCCCCAAACTCTGCCCAGGTTTACCACCTTCCCTACCTACTTGAAGCAATTTGTGCTGCCCATATGTTTTTAGATGATTTAGATGTGAGGTTTTTCACATGGCCAGTTTACCAGGGGATGCACTCAGAAAGTCCTAAGTCCCTCCTCCTCTCTAAGTAGCTAACAACTTGGCAATTCAACAGCTGCTAGAGGCAGGATTTCTGTACCCAACTCCCTTGTCCATGCTAGAATTTGGTCGGACTTGGGATTGTACAGTGCAGACATACCAACTTGAAGGTTCTTCATCTCATTTTAGGCATTTTTATTTCTTTTTCCCCCAAACTCTCTGTTCAAATCCATACCTCATTTTTCAAGTGGGTTGTTTTCTTAACTGTTTTATTTTATCTTTTTAAATTATTTTCATATGCTGGCTAGTAACCATTATCAGGTGAATAGCTTGCAAAGGGTCTTCACCTTTGCAAAAAAGTTCCTCTTTATTGTAATTATTATTATTATTATTATTAGCTGTAAGAAAGTTTTTATTTTATAAGGTCCTATTATCAGTTGTTGGCCTAAGTCTTAAGTAATTAGCCCTGGACACATGGGCATATAAACAGTGATAAATGGGCTCTGTTATACATACATGTGAATATTTGTATTACTTTAAAATTTTTGTACATGTTTATATATATGTAATATTTATAATTAAAGTAGTGGTAGTAAAGTTGGTGTTGGGATCTGGGAGGCACTGGAAGGGGAAAGGAAGATAGAAATAGCGCAGTGCAATGTTGTTCATGTATGCGGTTTTCAGAAATGTTAAAATGAAACTGAATTTAAAACATCATATCTCACATGGATTCTGTTAGGGACCTCTCAAATTTCACATGTATAGGAGATGCTGTGCTCAACAGAATGTTCTCCAGAAGCCTTGGTGTTAGCCCTGTCCAATGTCTTTTCCTCCAGCATGTGTTTAATGCAGTACTGGCCACCTCTGATCGATGAGGAATGGCCTTCTGTATATGTTTTGATTTCATTGGTTGATAAATAAATCTGTCTCAGCCCATGACTTAGCAGAGCAAAACCAGGTAGGAAATCTGAGCAGAGATATAGAGAGAAGAGAATAGGTAGAATTAAAGAAATGTCATGTAGCTGCTGAAGTCGTGGCATTACATAAATTAATAGAAATGGGCTAATTCAAGATGTAAGAGATAGCTAGAAATATGTCTGAGTCATTGGTCGAGCAGTGTTGTAATAAATAGTTTTTGTGTGATTATTTAGATCTGTGCAGTGGGGAACAAACGAGCAGTCCCTGCTTACAAAATGGTACCCCATGTGGGCCACCTATATCCACATAAAATCTGACAGATCTTGGGAAGGAATTCTAGACACAAAAGAACGGAGATAAGCATGGTTTCTTGGTAGCAGCATTTTCTCAGGTGGGCTCTGTGTGCAAGAGGCAAATGTAAGGCTTCCTGACTCAGCGTTATCAGCAAAAACTGAGGGCTTCTTTAAGAAACAATTTCCTGGTTTGTACTGACAGCATGAATGGCTCTGGTTCTTTTGGGAGGTTCTGCTACAGAACACTTAGCATTTGTGAGCAGAGTGGTGCAAGTTTGCTTAATGGCTACATAGACCTGCAGCATCTCTGGAACTGGGTGGTAAGCATGTCTCACAGAGGCGGTAAACATACTTTAACCATGTTAGATGAGTCAGAGTCAACAGACAGGGCCATGGAGTTGATCCTACGCATGCCCATTTAGCATGAAAAAAAAAGGCTCTCCTGGTCAGAAAATGATTACAGATAAGCAATGAAGACAAATTCAGACAAAAATAAACCTCTTAATGGGTCACAGTATGTTTTTAAAAATGCACATAGGCTTGGGAGAGATGGGAAAAAGAGAATAGACAAGAGTACAGACAATCATAGATTAAAGAAGGAAAGATAGTAAAATAAGTATTACAAAGTAATAGAGTTAAAAATAAACCGTGTAATGATGGAATATACACAGAGAATCTGGATTATTGGTACAGGAGAATTGTCTGTTTTCTGTCAATCATGTTTTAAATAAAACGCTGATTGGCCAGGCAGGAGGTGTAGGGGGAAAGCCAGACAAGAAGTGGAAATGATGCAAGGAGAGCAGGAGAATTCTGGGAAGGAGGAAGTTGATTCCTTCCACTCCTGCCCAGACCACCGAAGCAGCAGGATGTGAGCTGCCCCAC